GCTTCATTTGCAACTCCGTATGACTACATTACCCTCCCTAGTTCGAACTAGGGGGGTAGTGTAGACATACCCATAGTTAGTGTCTCTTTGTTTTCTTCTCCCCCTTCGGGGGTGAGGAATGCCAGGGCCAAAAGGCTTTAAGGCGAGCGCTGTCTGCGCAAAGTTTATGCCCAGAGGAGACCCTCATGACAGTTGTCTGACGTATCTGGGTGAGGGCCATCTTACAGACGCCTGTAAAATCTGCAAGTCGTTTAAGCCGCGCGCTAAGAGGGAGAGAGAGGTTCTGTGCCTCTGAGACCTGTGCATAGAGCACGACATAGTTTTGCAGGCAGAGTACCTGCCAGGGTGCAAAAACTTGCTGGCCGATGCTCTGAGCAGATCCTTCGGAGCCCACGAATGGTCTCTCAAGGATTCGGCACTTTGTCAGATCTTCCGCAGGTGGGGTTCTCCCTTACTAGACCTGTTTGCCTTGGCACGCAACATCAAGTGCCGAAGCTACTGCTCCCTGTTGGGGTTTGGGGAACACTCCAGGGGGGATGCCATGACTGTCTCATGGCTGGCAGGCATCCTTTATGCTTTCCCTCAGTTTCCCCTAATTCCCAGGGTTCTGACCAGGGTCAAGACCTTCAGGTCCACAGTCATCCTGATAGCCCCTTTGTGGCCCAGGCAGTTCTGGTTCCCTATCCTGGTGGATATGCTCAGCAAGGAGCCTGTAATGCTCCCGCCAGTTCGGGATCGCCTGGGACGGGGGGACCATTGCTCACCCGAATCTCAGCTCTCTCCACCTGACAATCTGGTTTATCCATGGCTGACCCAACCGAAAAGGAATGTTCCCAGGAGGTACAGATGGTGCTCCTAAGTATTAGGAAACTGTCTACCAGGTGGTCATACGCAGCCAAGTGGCGGCGCTTCTCGTCTTGGGCGTCCAGAAGGGGAGTGCACCCGTCCCGTGAACCTGTCCTGTCCATTCTTGACTACCTTTTTGAACTTAGGTCCAGTGGCCTCTCTACCTCCTCTATCAAAGTCCATGTGGCATCTCTCTCTGCCTTCCATGTTGGTTCGGCAGGGGGTTTTCTGTTTTCTGACCCTGTGGTCAAAAGGTTCCTTAAGGGTTTGGATAAGTTGTATCCCTCCGTTAGACCCCCTCTTCCCACTTGGGAACTTAACCACGTGTTGGCTAGACTTGTGTCGCCCCCCCTTTGAGCCGCTGGCCACGTGTTCTTTGAAGCACCTCTCTATGAAGGTTGTGTTCATAGTGGCCATTACGTCAGCTCGCAGGGTTTGCAAGCTCAGGGCGTTAACAGTAAACCCACCCTACTTAGTGTTTACTGACAATAATGTGAGGCTCTACCCTCATCCGGCTTTTCTCCCCAAGGTGGTGTCACCGTTTCATTTGTCCCAAGAAATTTACCTCCCGGTTTTCTTTCCAAAGCCCCATGCCTCCCCTAAGGAGCAAGTGCTCCATTCCCTGGAGGCTAGATGTGCACTAGTTTTATATATTGGTAGGACTAAGCTCTTTCGCAAATCCACACAATTGTTTATGGCTGTCGCTGACAGAATGAAAGGGCTCCCATATCGACCCAGAGGTTGTCCAATTGGGTCACAGGGTGTATCAGGGAGTGTTATGCCTTGTCCGGGAAGGTCCCACCCCGGGTTACAGCACATTCCACCAGGGCGCAGGCGTCCTCTGTAGCTTTTGGGGCACAGGTTCCAATCACTGAAATCTGTAGGCTGGCCATGTGGTTGTCACTCCATACCTTTACGTCACACTATGCGCTGGCACAGCAGGCTAGGGAGGATACAGGGTTGGGCTTTGCGGTCCTCAGCTCTGTATTGTAAATATGTTTGTTTTATCTGTGCCACATTGCACTTTCTACAGTTTTTCTGTGTTCGCTTAGTTGAATAAATTTGTTTGGATTGTTCAACTTTCGTGGACTTCTCTTCCTGAATGCTCTGACCCCTCCTCCTTGAAGTGGGGTTGGCTTGGAAGTCACCTAATTCGAATGGACATGAGCAACCACTCGAAGAAAAGAATGGTTACTTACCTGTAACTGTTGTTCTTTGAGATGTGTTGCTCATGTCCATTCGATTCCCCCCCTACCTCCCCTTCGTCAGAGTGTCCGGCAAGAAGGAACATGGCAGTGCCACACCAGGGGACACCCTGCCAGCGCTACAGGTACTGCTAGGGAAAATGCTCCGGAAGACACGGTGCACACGGTGCACACACCTAATTCAAATGGACATGAGCAACACATCTCGAAGAACAACAGTCCAAGTAAGTAACCGTTCTTTTCTCTCTTATTGTACTTTGCTTGGAACTTTTTACCAATTTAATAGGAGTTACCTGCTCAGGAGTCACCTGAAGTGGAGCACCTACAGGAACACTACTTGGAGAGTTTACTCACCTTGTGCAGTCACTGGATTTCTTTGAGATGCATGTCCCTGTTGGTGCTCCACTACCTGCTGGCCTTCCACCCTGATTTGGAGTCTCCCGAGTGGGCCTTTGTCATGGAGAAGGAACTGAGAACTGTTTGGCCAAGCAACCTAATATAGCTTCAGTGCAGAGCACAAGGACGTGTCGGGCACAACCATGGGCCTATTAGGAATTGCTATACAAATAATTTCTGATCAAAAGTGCAAGGATGCAAGCACACCCGAAGTGGAGCACCCATAGTGATACTATCTCACCAAACTCCAATTACTGCTCAAGGTAAAAATAACCTCTGTAACAGGGCAGGCCTCACTGCCACAGGTGCCACCTGCTGGACACTTTGAGAATTAGCTTTTTAGCTCTGGAGCACCCCCTTTCAGCTGATGTCTCACCTGCTTTTACCTATTTTCCCTCCACCTCTGCATTCAGACCCACGTCCCTCCTGGACCTCTCCTCTGGGTATTGCCCTGCTGCAGTGCCCCCACTTTCTGGCCCTCTGGGAACCCCCAATTTCCTATGCCCACCTTGCCTCAGTGACCCACTGCCAGTTTTCATCTAGCCCCTTCCACAGGGGCAAACTGAAGTCTGAAATGGCCACTCATCATTGGCAAAGGGGTGAGGATCTACTGCTGTCTTCTATCCTGGCTGCCTCCCCACAGACTTAGTACCCTGAAGCTTTGCTTCAGGTCCTGCCACCTAGAAGCTTGCTTGCTAGAGCTTCCTCAGCCCTGCCTGTCATCACCCAGCCCTGCTCTATATCAGGAAACCTTAGGCCCCTCCTGCTCCACAGCTAGAGCAAGAGTGAGTCTGTCTCTATTCCTCCAGGAGCCTTTATTTATACTGCCTTCACCTGGGCCCTAATTGGCTAATTCCTGCCACAGATGCTAGCTCCACAGCTCCAGCCCTCTCCCAGGACTGGGTTTTAACCCTTAAAGGGCCAGTGTGGGGCCCTGTCACACACTCCTAGGCTACGTCTAGACTGGCCCCTAATTCCGGAAAAGTCATGCAAAGCAGGTAAGTCAGAATAGGGAAATCCGCGGGGGATTTAAATATCCTCCGCGGGATTTAAATAAACATGTCTGCCGCTTTTTTCCCAGCTTGGGGAAAAGCCGGAAAAAAGTGTCTAGACTGGCGCGATCCTCCGGAATAAAGCCCTTTTCCAGAGGATCTCTTATTCCTACTTGAAAGTAAGAGATCCTCCGGAAAAGGGCTTATTTTCCAGAGAGGTTTAACAAGCAGTACCAATGACTTGTGTTAAAAGAAAATGAAACATCCAGAATGCCTGACCTTCTTGTTTGTTTTGTTAGTAATATTTGGATAACCTGACTTTTACACACGAGTCAGATGTTCTCCATAATTCAGTCAGACCAGCTTTTAAATAATAGTATGGAAGGGAAGGAAGTGTATTTCTTTTAAGTATTCCTCTGTTGTATAACTGGCATGAGTAGGGCTGCATATTTTTCACAGAGGTAAAAACATAATGGACACTATGGCTGTGTCTACACTGGCATGAATTTCCGGAACTGCTTAAAACAAAATACTATTCCGTTTTCAGTTTTTCCGGAAAAGGAGCATCTACATTGGCAAGCTGCTTTTCCAGAAAAGCCCTTTTTCCGGAAAAGCGTCTGTGGCCAATGTAGACGCGCTTTTCCGGAAAAGACTACTGGGCTGTCTACACTGGCCCTTTTCCGGAACAGTGTTCCGGAATAAGGACTTATGCCTGAGCGGGAGCAGAATAGTTTTTCCGGAATAGCGGCTGATTTTGTACAGTAGAGCATCGTTGCTTTTCCGGAAATTCAAGGGCCAGTGTTGACAGCTCGCAGCTTATTCCGGAAAAGTGGCTGATTTTCTGGAATAAGTGGCCCAGTGTAGACACAGCCTATGATTTTTCTGTTTGTCTATGACTTTTCTTTGTCACTTTAATAAAGAAATGGTTTCCAAATAGTGGGTTGTGAACCACTGGTCACATGGGAGAAAGGTTCTAGTTTTATTGCCCTATAGAAGGGAAAGGGGAAGCTGGAGAGCTCATTCTGCAGTGGTAACTCCTGTCCAGTGGAGTTGGTTGGGTCTGGCTTGGAATCATAGTACTACTCACTCAAATTTGGCTCAACCATTTCTCTGTGACTATGGAGAAGTGGTTAGGCCAATCCTGAGTAGCGCTGTGACTCCCCAAAAGAGGTACTGGGCCCAATCCTGTACGACAGGTCTACAGGCACACTTACTCTCCAGCAGTCTCCTAGAACCTCTCCTCCTCCTCAAGTTAGATTAATATTACTGTGCTGGGGCAGAACATGTTACTGCAGGTGGTAGGTGCCACCTCAGTGGGTCAAAAAGGAGGCAGAAGAAGGATTTCTGTACATTATAGTTAAAGAAGTACTATTAAATTTCCATACCATGAATTTATGCACCTTTCCCCTCCCCCATTCCATGACTTTTACTAAATTTACTTTGAAGGCTCTGTGATTTTTTTATTTAAAAATATCCCTGACAAATCTTCAGCTCTAGGCAAGAGGATCTAACTTTTATGATATCCAGTAATGTATACTGTAAATATTACCATTTGTTTTAGTTGTATGGAATGGATCTAACTGATGGTGCTGTGTCTGCAGAAAACCAACAAGTAACAGAATCTTCAGACTCTCGCAGTAAGTGCTATGACTGTATAAACAGAACAAATGTCAAACATTTAACAAACAAAATTCCTTTCTCTGAAGTCTAGCTTATTACTATTTCTATCTCGAAGACTAATGGTTTTATAATTGAAGTACAATTAAGCTGATACACTTGAGTCTCATTAATGCAGCAACCCTTGAAAAGATGGTATGGCAAATTAAAGAATTTGCTGGGTCAGGGAGGACACTGTGGGGGCTGAGCATGAGGGGGATGGATGTGGGGCACTTAACCTAGCTCCTCACTCCTAGGATCATACATAGCTCTGCACTCCCAGGTACTACCCCCTGTCACTATGGGAGTGGTTGAGAAAACCTCTTGGGAAGCACATCACTGTGCTTCCATTTCCCCAGCTGGGAGGGAGGGAGAGAGATATCTTGCAGAGCTGCTTCCTTCTCTGCCTCCTAGGGTCCTTACCATGAGTGTTCCTAGATTAGGGACACCTAGAGTATGGAGGTTCATGTGTAATAGAATATAAATTCTGCAATTAAAAAAATTGTCTTTACCTCAAAGTGCCCCCAAGGAAAGGAAGAATAGGCACGCAACTTTTACTCACTTAAACAGAATTTTCTTAAGTATCCCCAGTTAAACAATTGCAGCTATTTATGAGCCAGGTTGTAATAGCTTTACAGTGAGTAATATCTTGTTCCAGATATAGATTCATTGACTTCAGTGGGATTAGTCCTTCTGTAAGATATTGTTATTAAGGGTTAAAATCTTGGTTAAAATCTCAATGGAGTTGATGAGCATAACAGCCAGTTTTTACTTAGAATAAATGAAGAAACAATTAAATGTCCCTTTGTTTAGAGAAATGAAATAATAGGAGCTGCTACCTAAAATATAGACCACGTGTAAGACCACTCAATCTGAGCTGTAGGTGAAGGGGTTTCATGATAGCCTAAACCTAAACACAGGCATGGGGGGTGGGGCGTTGATTTGACTGCTGTTTTTGTCTGTATGTGTAAGATAAGGAACAAAAACACCACAAAAGTAGAGAAAGAGGAGAGAAGCCCTGGTACTGTGACCCTGAGAAAAAGCCAAGAGAGAGCTTTGGGGCTTAGTACATACTGGCTGGAAAGGGGTTTTGCAGCTGAGAGCATGGAAACTGTCTTCTGTTGTTGAAATCCTAAAGTGTACAAGCAAACAGAACTTTGTATACATTCTTTGTAAATAAACAAGATTGCATCAAAGAAATGCCTGGCTCCATCACCAATTTCTTCAAATGGAGACAAATCACAAGAATTAATTTTGGCTAACCATGCAGTTCAAAGGGGGTAACAGTACAACATGAGCTAGGATACAAGAATTTCA